ACTAGCAAAAAGGTTTAACTACAAATAAAAATGTGTCAAACAATTAACGAGTAACCACGTTTTGCATGCACTAACTTGTACCCTATGCGCCAATTTGAACAGATATTAAATCGATTTTACATGTGACATTGTAAAATCTAAAATTAACTTTTATACACACATTTGAATCATGATTCAAAATTAATTGTAACCAAAATGTCAGTATATATTTGAATTAGATATTTTAAGTGAGTAATTTATTTTAAAAAAAATTAATAATTGTATGAGTTCTAATTCAATTTTAATAGACTAGAATTAAAAAATTCTAAGCCTGAACAAAAGAGTGAAAAATTAAAATATTTTTTTATTTATTGTGTTCGATTCACATTTTTATTTAATTATAGTTAATTTAATAATTTATCTTGAATATTTTTTATTAATTTTATAAAAGTATTTGCTAAAGTATCTATGAACTAGAACTTTTGATAGCATTGTATGTTCTCTTTATTCTCTTTAAACGAGGAGATCTAAGGAGAGAAAATGAGTCTTATTGAGTTGAATTCAAGTATTTTATAAACATAACTTGTTGTTTTTAAGGAATAAAGGCAGTAGCAAAAATAGAGAAAATAAAATACTAAAAGAGGAAGAATATATAAATTAAAATGAAATAAATCCTGAGAATTCTGCTTTATTCAGCTGCCAATTGCAATACATTTATAATGCTTGCAGTAACAAAAAATTGACTAAGATAAAACTGAAATACTCTCTCCTAAAGTTTTAGAACAGCTACTTTAACTGGAAAGACTTATTCAACGACTGAAATAGTAAAAGATAAAACAAATAAAATGCCACGTGCAGTTCAAAAACAAATATCTAACGCTCTTCCTTGATTTTAGAACTGCAAACTCCAATCTTCTGTTTTAAGAACTCGAACTTGCTGACTGAAAGTGGTTTGGTGAACAAATCTGCAACTTGGTTTTCAGTTTTGCAATAAACAAGAACAATTCCATCTCTCTGTACTTCCCTTAAGAAGAACAACTTAATGTTAAAATGTTTGGTTTTTTCATGAAAGACAGGATTCTAGGAAATAGCTATTGCAGCTTGGTTGTCAACAAAAACTTCTGTGCTTTCCTTTTGTCCCATGTTAAGATCAATTAAAATTTTTCTCAACCACAAGGCTTGGTTAACAGCAACTGTAGCAACAACAAATTCAACTTTTGCTGTAGATTGCGCAACAGTTCTTGTTTCTTCGAGTCCATGAGAAAACACCCGATCCAAAGCTAAAACAGTATCCTGAGGTACTCCTCATATCATCAATTGAGCCACTCTAATCACTATCTGGGAAACCTGTTAGCTTAAATTCTTCAGTCTACTTAAACTTGATGCCAAAATTGCAAGTGCCTTTGACATATCTAATAACTTTTTTTGCAGTTTTGAGATGCATTTCGCTTAGATAATGCATAAACCGGGATAAAATGCTTACAACATTTAAGATGTCAGGCCGAGTTGCTGTAAGGTACATCAAACGCCCAATCATGCTTCTAAAATATGCTTGATCTATCTTCTCGATTCCATCTTCCTTGCACAACTTTTTCTTTTGATTCATTGGAGTGCTCATTTCTTTGCACTCTTCAAGTTTGAACTTCTTCAAGACCTCCTTAGCATATTTTTTTGACAAATGAAGACTTCATGTTCTCCTTGTTTGATCTCCATGTCAAGAAAGAAGGTCATTAAACCAAAGTCTGTCATCTCAAACACCTCCATCATTTCTTTCTTAAGCTTCTCTACAAGCCCTGTGCTGCTTCTTGTTATAAAGAGGTTATCCACATAGAGTGAAATGATAAGAATGTCAACTTTATCATGCTTAACATACAATGTTGATTTAGCTAAGCTTTTCACAAATCCCAAGTTCAGTAAATTATCAATTCTGCTATATCATGATCTTGGGGCTTGTTTCAGCCCATAAAGAGCCTTATAAACCTTATCTTCTTCTCCTTCCTTCTCAAAGACTTGGGGTTGTTCAACATAGATTTCTTCTTGTAAGAAACCATTTAAAAAGGCTTATTTAACATCAAGTTGATAAACCTTCCAATTCTTTTGAGCAGCTACAACAAGTAGCAACCTGATGGTCCAATCAAGCAACCGGTGCAAACGTATCTGAGTAGTCTGCACCAAAAATCTGTGCATAACCTTTTACCACGAGTCTTTCCTTGTGTTTGTTGATAGAACCGTCAACATTTAGCTTAGTTCTATACACCCACTTGACTCTAATTACTTTTATGCCTTAAGGTTTTTCCACAAGAATCCAGGTTTGATTTTTCTTGATCATTGACAACTCCTCCTTCATTACAACCATCCAATTTAGACTTTTCTTTTCTTCTTCATAGTCTGCAGGTTCACACACAAAAATATTGCATCTTTCATAAATTTTGGAAAGCAATCTGGTACCTTTTACTGGAATATCATCCACTAATTCATTTTGCCAACTTTCATTATCATTATGTTTTGTGTTTGAGGCTGAAGACTTGAACTTTACATCTGTAGAGACCAGATCTGTCTTCTTTTTATCATCCCAATTCCATTCTTCATCTTCCACAAAGTGAACATCCCTACTAATAACTATTTTTCCGATTTGTGGCTGAAAGATTTTATAGGCTTTGCTGACTGTACTATAGCTTATAAAGATACCTGGTGATGCTCATTTATCCAGCTTATCTCGCTTGCTCTATAGAACATGAGTAAACAAACAACCAAATATTTTAAGAAATTTCAGAGATGGTTTGTAACTATACCAGACCTCAAATGGTGTTTTATCGTTCAAAGCTTTGGTGGGAAGTCTATTTTAAAGAAAAACAGTCATACTTGCTGCCTCTGCCCAAAGTTCCTTTGACAAATTCTTCTCATACAGCATGCATCTCATCATCTCCAAGATATATCAATTTCTCCTCTCACTAACCCCATTTTGTTGTGGGGTATAGGGAGCGGTTAGTTGATGTTCAATGCCAAAATCTTCACAAAATTGATTGAATTTTTCAGATGTGTACTTAGTGTCATTGTCCGATCTCAAAATCTGAATTTTGAAACCAGTTTCGTACCTTGGCTTTGAACTTCCAAAAAATTTCAACCACCTTTGATTTGTTCTTGAAGAAAAAGATCCAGCATATTATGGTAAAGTCATCAATAAAGAGAATACAATAAAGATTACCTTTCAATGAAGGCGTTCTTTGAGGCCATGCAACATTTGTGTTAATTAATTGCAGCTTCCTTGATGCTCTCCATGCAGTTTTTGAAAAAGGTTTTCTGTGTTGCTTGCCAAATTGACAGGCTTTGCAATTTTGAAATTTGATCCTCAAGTTCAGGAACATTAAGTGCTAGCCCTTTTTCACTCTTGCAACAGCCATCGGTGATGATAATGTCCAAGTCTTTTATGCCAGATTTCTGTGACATTTTCCTTGAGTGAGAAAGTAGCTTGTTCTTCCTCCAATGGATTTAGAGCAAAGCTTTTCCCTTTTATTTTCACCTTGAACATATCTTGACTAGTTGCATCCTTAATCAAGCAATATTTGTCTTCAAAAATAACTTTAAATCCACTTTCAATCAGTTGACCAACACTTAATAGGTTTTGGTCAAGTTGAGGAACTAAAAGAACAACAGGAATAAATTTTGTGCCTACACAACTTGTAAATGCAACTGTCCCCTTTCCTCTGATTGTGATATGATCACCATTGTCTATTCTGACTTTTGTGTCATTAGTTGGCCTCAAATCTTTGAAGAGTGCCTTGTCAAAAATCATGTGGTTGGTACAATCACTAGCAATTAGCCAACTTTCATTTGACTCACTACTCAAGAAACAAGTAGCCACAAACAGTCAGTCCTTCTCCTCCTCTTGATTGGCAATCTGAGCTCCTTCATCGTGGTAATTTTTGTTTTTACAAATTACAGCTTCATGCCTCATTTGGTTGCACTTATTACATTTTGCCTCTAGTCTTCTCCAACATTTGAAGGGTGGATGACCTTTTCTACCACAATGTTAACAAGGTGGATAGCTTTTCTTTCTTCCTTTGCCTTTAATTTGGTTGTTTGCTGGACTTTCACTGCTCTTCTCACCTTCATGATGCTTGGCTGGCAAAGCACCTTCGACAACATGATCTTGTCTCATCAACCTTCGCTGCTCTTGGGCATGTAAGGCATGTAGCACCTTTGCCAAAGTGATCTTAGACAGATTCATTGTGTTATCTAGTGAAGCTATAGATGCTTTGTACCTCTCCGGCATCGTTAATAGAATTTTCTCAACAATTTTGAAATATGCAAAATCACTACCCAACAACCTTATCTTGTTAGCAATACCTAACAATTTGTCTGAGTATTCCTTAATTGTGTCGAATTCTTTCATCCATTGCAACTCAAATTCCCTCATTAAATTAAGTACCTATATGCTTCAAATTCTTTCATCTCCAACATATTCCTCCTTCAAATAATTCTAAATTGTTTTTATAGATCTAAGAGTCATAATCCTAATAAAAATGGTTGTAGAGACACCAGCAAAAAGGCATGACTTTGCCTTTGCTTTTCAGGTTTTTTCTCTCTTTATGATTCTTGATTTGAGCCATGCTGGAATTGTCCGACAGTAGAAGGACTTCATAATCTTCTTTTATTGCTTCTCAAAGAACCAAAGCCTCTAGGTAAACTTTCATTTTGACAGCCCAGAGATCATAATTTTTTCCATTAAAAACTGAAAGAATTGCTTGAGAAAAACTTGTTTCAAAATCCATTCTCAAGGTACCGTAAGAAAAAGGCTCTCGATACTAATTGTTATTTTTAAGGAATAAAGGCAGTAGCAAAAACAGAGAAAATAAAATACTGAAAGAGGAAGAATATATAAATTGAAATAAAATAAATCGTGAAAATTCTGCTTTATTCGACTGTCAATTGCAATACATTTATAATGCTTGCAGTAACAAAAAATTGACTAAGATAAAACTGAAATACTCTCTTCTAAAGTTTAGAAACAACTACTTTGACTGGAAAGACTTATTCAACAACTGATAGTAAAGGATAAAACAAATAAAATGTCACGTGCAGTTCAAAAACAAATATCTAACATAACTAGTTTCAAATTAACAATACAAAAGCTCTTACTCATTTTACAGTTCTTGTTGCCACCGAGACTATAATTTAATAACAACACAATTTACATAAACTCGGGATCCCCCATTCTCCACTCGAAACCCCCCTGTAGCATACATTTATTATCTTGGACGGCAGTAAAGCTGCTTTTATGTTGTGATTATCACTGTCACCTAGATAGTCAGATCATGAATCAGCCACAAATTTAGTCTTCAGGGGCTTGGTTGTTATGTCAATAAGGATGGTTGCATGAGCTGCCCACTCGTCAATCAATCATCAGTCAAGTTTACCCCTGAGCAAAATTACTTAAAGCTTCTCTCCCTTCTCTTTGCCAGAAAAACCTGTGAACCTTTGATGTCAAAATGAGCATACTAACTTGTTAACGGGATAACAAATATTTCAACCCAAAAATAATCTTTAACCAAAAAGTTCAAAAAATCAACCACAGAAAATATCAAGTCAAGAATCCTCTGGCCTTGTCTCTTTTAGACAATAGTCGTTGCAAATATTTACCAACAGAAGTTTATTAATTTGATTGTATAGTGAAGCAGTGTGAGAACTAAATCAGAAGCTGAATGGCAATTACATTCTAGTGCATAATAAAATGGGGAACAATGAATATTATAAGTACATCACAAAACACTTTTTATAGGTAAACAAAAATCTTGTGAATTACCAAAATGGGAGTTTACGATTATGAATCTGTTTGGAAGAGTTTATGTATAATTTATAAAAAAGAGCTTATGACTCTCATATGTTATTTTCAGTTTATTTCAATAAACTTTTTGGTATAACTTCTCAAAATAAATTGTTTTCAGCATATCTTAATAAGTTTCATCATCAAGTTTACGACATGAACAATTATTTTAAAAAAATTATTGAATAAATGCTTAATTAAACACTAGTCTCATACGCATCCTATATCTTACCAATCTATTAGTCCACTGATCATCCAGTGTAGTTTGAGAATCATTCTAATAAAGCAATTCCAGGTTCCTGCAGAATATAAAGCATAATCATATTCCTCTTAGACATGGATATAAGTTCCTTTAAACTTAAAACTATGTATCCTGTCTAAAACTTCTGAGAAAAGACATGAACAGGTAGGCAAATACCACATAAAGTATGTTGGCTAAATAGTTACAAAAGCTGAAAAAACCATTTACTGTATTGTAAAGTATAAACTTACATGAAATCATTAAATGTCATCACAAGTCCACAACAACACCACCTTTACAGCATGATTCAACTAGCCTAACATGCTGTACTGGAGATCCATTACTAACTTCCAAATTTGGCAGACCACCTAAATACAGTAGAAGCAAAGCCAGAAATGTTGTTGAAGGGAACAAACGATTGAAGCATAAATAAATATGCAGATATATATTCATATCAATAGTCTTGTACTGTAAAAGTTCCTCAACATTAAAAAATATCCAACATTATAACCTTATGACAAGCTCTTTTATGGTTTATTTCAGTAAGCTTCATGGTTAAGTTTATGATAAAACCTCTCACGTCACAAACTAATTAAATAAGCAATTAACTAAGTTGTTTAGCCAAATACACCCTATGTATGGGTAGTACAGTGAAACTGATGAACTTAGTTCATATCCAATATACAGTACAAAATATAATAACAGCTTTATCAATTGCATGCATCAATTTGGCTCACAGATCAAGAACCAAAACCAGAAAGTCCACATCACCAGAGCGTACAGAAAGAAATGACAAGCTACCACTATAAACACCAGATTGCTACCAAACAAGCATGATGGATACTTATGCATGTCTGACATCACATAATAAGATAATCCAACAATATTTTATCAGCCACTTTGTTAAATTTCTGCAGAGTCCACTATAGTTTGGCATGAGCACTGAAGTCTTACTAGTACAATAAACCAACAACTAAATTAAGAAGACGAACAAATTTGAAGTGAGCACCTTGATGTGAAATAGGCCACAACAATTAGACTCTAATAATGTCGTAGAGAATTCTACACTCTTACTTAACTCACAAGAAATTCCTACAACTGATTAGTTAATTCCAGGAACCAACAAAAGAACACAAACACACATGTAGACAGAACATTCAAAGCCTTCTCTCACATTCATTATGCATACCTCCCTTATGACTCAACTCTGATGGCCCTCTCATATTCACCTGGCCCACAATTTAACCTCTGCTTTCCACATACTCACCCTCTGTTAGTGATATGTCCAAAAAGGATCCTACTACAGATCTCATAGAAAAAAGCATAAAATATGTTGGCTAAATGGTCATGGAAACTGAAAATAAAAATGAATTATTATTTTGGTAGATGGAAACTTACATGGAATCATTAAACGCCATCATAACAGCGCCTCTACAACATGTTTCACAGCATTATGGCATCACATATCCAAATGCCAAAATAAATACCTAGCCAATTTATTGTGTCACTTTGATCGGGTAACCTTTGATATGCTTTTTCGCCTCTTTAAATACTCGTCCATCAGCTTGATATGTGTATATTTATTTAAACTAATTCCTTTCTTCTCTGTCTCTTGAAATAGTTTCATTGCCTCCTTGTACTTTCCCTGAGTACACAGATTGCTTATTTGCTCTGAGTATATCATATCATCTGAATCATGCTCCTGGGATGTATCATGAGTTTTCACGTGTTGCTCTGTCTCTAAAAGTTTTGGCATGAATTTCTCTGCTTCCTCGGTCCTACCAGCAAGAGCAAGCGCACTAACAATGGCAATATGAGTAAAGTGGTCAGGCTCCAATTTTTTTTCCTTCATTTCAGTCACAAGTTCAAACGCTTCCTCAAGTCTCCCTTCTTTGCAAAGGTAGGATATCAACGTGTTGTATGTGACCACATCTATGGGCTTCTCTTCAGTGATCCATGTGTTAAAAAGTTTAAAAGCTTTCTCCAGCATGCCCTCTCTACAAAGTCCCCGAAGAAGAATGTTACATGTAAAGATATCTGGTTTGAACGAGTTCTCTGCCATTTTGTTATAGAACTGAAGTGCTTTGTCTACCATTCCCTCACAGAAGTAACCGTGAATAATTATGTTACAGGTAGTCGTGTCTGGGACCAAACCCTTCTGTGAGAGCTCATTCAATTTATCCATTGCTTGTTCAGTTTTTCCAGACAGGCATAACCCTTTGATTATAGTGTTATAAGTGACAACACTAGGAACAATTCCTCTCTCGTTCATCTCATCCCAGAGCTTCAAAGCTCTGCCTGCTTGATCATCCTTAAAGAATCCCATGATGAGAGTTCCATAGGTCACCTCATCAAGGATATAACCTCGCTTCCTGGCCTTGACAATCAACATATATGCCTCTTCCAGCTTCCTCTCCTCACACAGAGTGTGCAATAAGGTGTTAAGAGTAAAAGTATCTGGTTTCAGCCCCTTCCTTCCGATCTCATCCATCATCCTAAATGCTTCTCCGAGCCTTCCAGCCTTACAATAACCGTTAATCATAGTATTATAAGTAAAACAGTCAGGAGAAACCCCACTTTCCACCATCCTCGTCACAATATCGCCCGCCCGATCAATCTTACCTTCCTTACAGAACCACTTAACCATTATATTATGGGTGACGGCATTTGGCTCAACTCCCCTCGTCTTCATTTCCTCAACTAACCTATTCGCCTCTGCACTTCCCTGCCACCCAAAACACCCATCAATCAAAGTATTATAAGTAACAACATCAGGCATCACTTTCAAACTCTCCATCTCATCCTTAAGCCCCATAGCCTCATCAATCTTCCCCTCATCACACAACCCCCTCAACATCGTATTATAAGTCCAAACATCAGGCAGCAAGCCATTTCTGGTCATCAACTCAACAACCTCAGAAGCCTCCTTCAACCACTTCAACCTGCAATACCCACGAACCAATATATTATAGGTAGTCCTATCGGGAATCAAGCCACTATTCTTCATCTCCTGTAACACTTCCCTCACCTTATTAAACTGACCCTTCTTACACAATGCATTCAAAAGGGTATTATAAGTGACATTATCAGGGAAGCAGCCAAACTCACCCATTCGATTCCTCAAAGCAAGAGCATCATCGAGCCTGTTCTCAGAGCAATACCCATACATCAAAATGTTGAAGGTGTTGGTGTTGGGTTTGACACCCAGTTGAATAGCATCATGGAAAACCTGGGAGGAGAAGAGAATGGAGTGAGAGGAAGAGAAAGAGGAGCGAACGAGGGATTTAAGAAGGGTATTGCAGGTGAGAAGATTGGGAGCGAAACGAAGTCGTTTCATCTTTAAGAAAAGTTGAAAAGCGAGGTGGGGTTGTTTGGCGTGAGCGTAAGCGGCGAGGGAAGTGTCGAGGACGGGTTTGGAGAGGGAGCGATCGGGGCGGAGGAGGAAGCGGTGGAGGGAGTGGTGGCGATCGGAGGAGATGAAGGAGAGGAGAAGGTTCTTGGCGTCGGAGAATTTGCGGCGGGAGAAGAGGGGAGGGAGGAGAGTGAGGAGTGGTTGTGGAGAGGAAGAAAGGGAAGAGGGAGCGTTTGTATGGAACCAATTGAAGAAAGAGATGAGAGTGGTAGGGTGAGAGTGAAGGGGCTTCCATGAGAGGATTCTCAGAATGAGAGAGAGAGTGAGGTGTGGAATGAAGCGTTCGAGTTTCTGTGGTTCAAATGTGTTCTTCGATAGGATCGTTGAGGTTATGCTTTGAAGCACTTCTTCCTCGCTCCGAGCATTAGGATTCGAGGTTTCCATTATTTAGGGTTTTGTAATTTGTTTCCAGAAGAAGGAACCAATTAAGCTTTCCACTCCACCCACCATCATTTCCGTTCCGTTCCGTTCATCAAGCTCCACGCGCGTCCCAGATTACCCTTTTTTAAATAAACCAAAATATATATTATTTAATGTTATTAATATATTAAATTCTCTAATATTGTGTTATTTTTAATAAAAAAAAACACTGTGTATACTTTTTTATTCAGTATTTTTTCACTACGCGTTCAAAATATGATAATTTTTCATTACCATTAATGAAAATGATAATGAAGTCACGTACTTACTTCCGTAATTTGTTAACGATATTGAGATATCAAAATATTTGATATATTAATTGGTACATTAGAACTAATTTGATGAAGACAAAAAATGTTAAGGAAAACTTCAATGATTCACTTGAGTCTGTTAAATGTCATAGCCATGTTTTTGTTTTAGATAATTTGAACGTTAAAAAAAATTTACAAATGAAACTTGAGTGATAAAATACGTCACTGGTACCGTGGATTGACGAAGGAATTAATAAATAATAAGTATATATTAAAAGTCATGTTAAAATTTATTAAAAATATAAAAAAAAAATTAGATGTTTTTGACAACGTTTTATTTTGAATTTCTTAAACATTGGTTAACATTATTCTTACAGAAAAACTTAAATTATATATATATAAGATCATTTGTTACTATATGGTTACCCTAATTTAATTCAAAGCATTGAATTTAGTCATTCTTTGTTAATCAATTATTTATCATTCATGGTTAGTTAATATTATCTAAATACTTAATTGTCTTACTTTTTAAAATGAATTTTAAAATAACTCAAAACTCACACTTTAATACTAAATTTTAGTTCAATTACTCACAACTACTTATTATATTATCATTACATTATTATCCCTCAGCTGTTTTTATTTATTTATTATTATTATTAGTTGTTATTATTATTGTTATTGCTATCAAAATAAGTAATACTGATTGTAATCATTATTTTATTTATTTCTTATAAAATTTCATAGTGCATTTTATATATTTTTTAAATATTTGTCATTATTTTCTATAATTTAGTAAAAAAAATATATAGAATTTTTTAAATTTACTCTTAATTTTATATTTTTTAAAAGTATAAGAAGACCTATTACCATTATCACCATCTCACCAATCAAGTTCAAATACAGAGCCAGTTATTTGTGCAGTTTGAACATAAAATGTAGTATAAGTATTTGAAAATTAAATATCTATCACTACATATTAAACCTATTTTTATTCTTAAATGACGGAATTTTTAAAATTATTTCAAATAAAAATATATTTAAGAACTATTGTTTTTGTTGTGTCATGTATATAATTTTTATAACAAACATTTAATTCTTTCAATACAATTTAAATTTGAAATGTGAATTTTAAATTTTGCAATTTTAGAAAAAAATATTTTTAATTTAATCACACTAAGATAATAAAATACCTATTAATAATAAAAAGAATATGTTTCAATTTGTAAAACAATAAATTTAAAAATAAAATCATAAAACTAATTTTTTCAGAATTATAAAATTTAAAACTGCAAGTAAATAGTATATAAAATTAAGGAATACTTCAATAATTAATTTTATATTCATTAAATATCTTATTAAAGTAAGATTTAAAATAAAATTTAACTTATCTTTTTAAAATTTTAAATAAATTAAACAAGAGCTTATAAAAAATCTACAATAAAATTTAAAAAATATATGTTACTTTAATTTATAAAAAAATTTATTAACTTTTTATAATAATTATTTTTTATAAAAGTATCGCTAAAAATTTATCTAAACAAAACCAAATCTATTTGAATATAAAATGTTTTTAATAACAAAATACCGATAATAATAATAATAATAATAATAAGAGAATAAAAATGACAAACCCATATCTCATGCACATCACATGTGGACAAATAATAAAATATTTAATTTTATTTTCTTGGAATTGTTTTTCAATGTATCAAAGACGAAGAGAACCAGTTATTCTCTCTCATATTATCCCTTTCTCTCTCTAAGATCGCGCTGAGTGGCATAGCCAATGGAAGCCGTGAAGGAACCGAAGGTGGTGACTCTGAAGCCAATCGAAGCCACTCCGTCAACCTTCCAAAACTACGGTCAGGTAGTCGAGGTTTCCCCGGACGGGCAGGAATTCGGTCCACACGATGCTCAACTCGACCTCAGCCATGGAACTCCCAGGTTTCATTTTTGAATCAACCTTAAAAGCATGCAAATTCAAATTGCGGTTAGATTCCTTAAAATTGAGTTCCAATTATTAGAATTAGTGTGAATTTGACAGGTTCTACATTATGCATCTTGAAAATCGCCCGCTTAAGTTTTCCAGTATTACACATCATGCAAGTGTGACTCAGTGCCTTGGGTCTATTGGTGGTCATGTTTGGTATCTTGGAGTGGCCAAGTCATCCATTGTTGATTCAAATGATGAGTCAGGCAAGAAGATTGTGCAATCACGTTGCGGTCATTCCTATGTGCCTCCTGACATTGAGGATGTCCAAGTTTTCAAGGTTGCAGGTTCCAAATTTCTTAAGCTTAGTCGCGGAACATGGCATGCTGGCCCTCTATTTAAGGCAGATACGATGGATTTTTACAATCTAGAACTGAGCAATACAAACGTAAGTTTCTCGCCTGAATAATTACATTCATGCAAAGGGTAGATTTTATTCATTTTTCTTTTATGTGTTTTAGTGGATGTTGCTCTGTTTTGTATGGCCTTTTATTTATTTATGTGCAGGTGATTGATCATACGACACACAACTTTAAGACGAACGACGGAGTGATATTTTCAATTGATGAGTAACTTTATAGTTTTATGATTATCTAGGTACCAGCATTTCAATTTATTATGTATGCTGTATATCGCTAAATTGACAAATGTCAGTTTATTTCTGGGAGCTTCAGAGTTGTGCTTCATTTGGTGCCTTAAGTCCAAATTTACATTTCACTTGTATAAATTGTTCTCCAACGAGTTGCAGTTCACGTAAACAACGGAGGTGAAATTACCACTTTTCTTATTTGCATTTTTCTACATGTTCCAAACGAGATCTCTAATAGCTATTATTATAGTAAATGAGGAATGCGGAAAAAGAAGGTGCATGGCTGAGTGCATTATGATCTAAGGCTACTAATGAGAATGTGAATAATCTAATGGCTAGTATTGGTTCATTTCGCCGCTTGCAATCATCTACTCCTCTTATTGGGTCATTTCTATACATAAATAACACATTTGTTACACTTGAGTTGGGAAAATAAAATAGATGGTCGTATGGGGTTGTAAAACTCTTGATAATTGAAAGTGGTGCTCACAAAGGTAAAACTTTTGGACAAGGCTTTTGGGGGGAAGAAAATTGTTTGTTGCTTGCACGTCATTTAACCTTGATTCTGCCAGGAAGGCGAAGAACTTATACGAAGCAAACAATACTCACTAAGTTTATACATCAAAAAAATTCGAACGGGTACTTCTCAAAATTGTTAAACTAGCATTTACAAAATACGAGATTACACAGATTTTGTTCAATGAGGTGAACTTGCTCTATCTTAAACATATGGGATATATAATTATTTGAACCTTCTTAGAATTGCTGCTTTAGTTGGTAACGCCTCCATAACGATTGTCAAAACTCGCCCCCCATCAACTGCAAATTAAGAAATTGACATAGGACTTCTTAATTCATTACGAGATTTCTTATATTCAAAACTGAAGAGTATGTGATTTTTCAAGTGCCAAGGGGGTTAATATCAAACTTCTGAAACGTATCAGTAGTCACCTTGAATATATCTCCAAACATCCCCATGGGGTTCCTTCGCTGTACTCCGTAGAACTTCTCCGCAATATCATCTAGCATCTGAATCACAGTTTGTCACGTCAAATGCAGCACATAGTTTGAATTTTAGTTTCATACAAAGACATAAATAGTCACAAGATAATAACACAAAACTGGTCAGAATTTTCATAGAAAAATACGCATACGCCACATCTTTGTGGGTATATTTGCTAATTGCGATCTACGCACAACAGAAGAAAATAAAGCATATAAAGTGTGGTTAGTTAGCTGACCTCATTGAACGCAGGTTCCCTGTCAATAAATGGCTTAAAATTTGTTCGCAACATATTAAAAAGGGGCAAAGCATCTCTCTCCAACCTGCAGAAAAAAAATCGTTGGCATGCAACATAATGGGAGCTCCAAATATTTGCTGTTATTACAATAGAAAACTCTTCTTCACATTAAAGACATATCATATCAATCAAGTATCCTTGCTAAAGGTGTCTCCTATGTAATTTCATATATCACGTTACCACGAGCACTTTGCTTCACTTATATCAAAGTGGTAACTAATTTGATACGTGTCTATCTTTCCTTACAGCAGACTAAGGTGCTTAATTTTATTCAGCTTTATTTCCTTTATCCAGAGGAAAAGAGCCATGTATTTACAACACAATTAACGTCCTCATATAAGTGAAGTTTTCATATCCTGTATGTAATAAATGAAATTTGAAAGCAAACAATCAGTACTCTTTAAAAAATCATAGTGTTTCCAGTCCCTTCAAATCTAAGTAAAATGTCCCTTTACCACACATTTGGAACAGAAATTAATCAATTTATTGGTTGAACAAAATAGTAAACTTACGTTTGCAAAAGATAGTTAATGAACTGCATCAACTCTGTCTTAGGAAACTCAATCTCAGATGATTCAACTTGCTTCTTTACCTCCTCCATTAGTATGTTTGCATCTTTCAAATTGCGTGAAGATAAGTACCTATCATGCAAGAAATGAGCAAATCCTCATTTTAAAAACTTGTTGAAATGTGCGTGGAATTACAGATGAAAGACATTAATCAAACAAAACAAGGGTTTTAAATTTAACAAGTACGTCAACATGACTAACATCAATGGAAGCATGTCTTTACCCATCAATTGTCACCAAGGATGCCCCTTACAGGGCCTTAGTAGAGAAGTCTTTGGGCGTAATCATGCATGCATCAATGAAGATTAGTACAAGACAGCTGAAGCAAAATTATTCTTAATTATCACCAAAAGATAGCCAAACAGGGAGGATAGCTTAAGACTGATTCTATTATATTATTTCTTTTTAAGTTTTTATGTACAAGAAATAATATCCTAATCCTGCATTCTGTGATCTGATTGGAAGTGTTTGTTTGACAATGAACACTTGGTGCAAATACATACTGCAATAAACAAAAGGTATTTAAGCCAAGTTATAAAATGCATTCTTAAACAACAAATCTTTATGCTGAGAATATCTGCACATTTTACAGTTGTAATGCAATAAGCAAAGACATAAATTTCATCGTAGCATAAATGGTTACTTAGGCATCATAAGCATCTTGCACAACCCGTAGTGAGAAAATATTAAATAATATAGACAAGGAATCTCGAGAAAATTGTGTTCTAAAATGCTACCTTAAAACTGCCCGTGCAATGGCCAAATCATCTTCACCAGGATAACACTACAATATTTGAATAATATATCAGTTGAACTGTTCCAAAACTATGCCAAAATTACAAAAGGAATGCCTCAGTTACCTCCTCCAATTTTTCAGTTTGAGAATTACTTAATAACGTAAAGAATGAACCATGGCATAAATAAAATTGTTTGGCATGCCTCCACAGAATTTTGTAAAATTGAGCCAAATATCAAGGAATAAAAGAGCTAGGAAGCTGACCTTGCCCAAAAAACTCACTAGAGTAGAAGCAAATTTCTTAGGATTATTTCCTCTCACAAAATGATATGTCACTTTAGCCATATCCTGCATGTAAAAATATGTTGATATTCATTCACCACAAACAACGGTCATAATAGTTTCAAGGGAAAGTGAAGCTTTTAATAGCAAAAAGCCATTTCCATATCAGCATGAGAATTCATAGAGAATATCTGCTCCAAACAATCCATGCAAAAATATACTATATTTCTTCATTTTCTCTTCAACTTAAAGAGTATATTAAATTTTATGTTTGCCTTGCCTTAGTCTCGTGTAAACTGACACATCTTCAACGCAACCAAGAGTATAAGATTAAAAAGAGTTGCTGTCCTCTTCCCAAAAAAGAAATGTATCATATACTCTTGTGGCTCTTCAAGAAAGATTGGCTTTGTTGCAGGTTTGGGCTTTTTATTCAAAATCAGTTTTTTTTTTTTGTGCTGCACAGTGGAATAAAATTATCCCACTGATTCTAAACGCAAGATTGTGTGATCTCTCACCAGATTAACTTTTAGACAGTGATTGGGATAATTCAGAATCTCAAAAATAACAAATCCTTACAATCTTGTGAGTAAGCTCACAATTTCAACTTCCATGATTTAAACAGCTACCCAATTTCATTAGCAAACATGACTAAAAACTCTTCCCATTAATACCCCAAATGCTCCCTCATAGAACTTTTATCAAACCCTTCAAATTCAAAACCTTATACAGCACCAAAACACAATTCCACCCAGGAAAACCCTAAATTTAACCAATTAGGTCAACATTTGTTTGTTTACTTTAATTAGTAAAATGTTGAAACAGAAACAGAACTTTACATATCTACATTACTGTGTTTTCCTTCTACCAAAAAAACAGGAAAAGAGAAAGTTCATACAGATGCTGGTCAAAGAAAAGCTTGAAACAAACCCTAGAGTATATTGATTTGAGAGAAGCAACAATGAAGATGTACTTGGCACGCAATTGTGGAACTTACCACTTCAGGACTTTCAGAAAATATGTATTCAGCTAGCATGATGTGCAGCTCTGGAGATCCATTACTGTTTGCTCCATTTTCAGCAGACCACCTGGATATTATTCAGGGGAAAACAATAATTGACACACACTTGCAAAGAAAAGAGAGGGAGCTTGGTAAATTTAAAATATAATCTAGAATATTTGAATTTATGTTAAATCTCACTTGATAGCAGCTTTTAAGAATGAGGAGCAACCCTCAACACGTATCTTTGCATTTCCAATATTTTCAGAAAGCTGCTGCATGTCATCGACATCCCACAGGTGTGGCGGCAATGGAACCCGAGGAAATGATGTGTAGATTTTCTTGAGTCGACCTAATATTAAAATTTACAAGTAATTAGTTATAATAAGGACCATTTTATGATTAAATACTACAAAAATCCAATCAGAAGAGTGAATGTTTATGCAAGTACATGATCATTACCAGATTAAAAATTTCCCATGCAATTCAGAACAAACTAAGAATAACTTATACTGCATCACAAATAAACACAAAAAGAAAACTGCTGATAAAAATATAGCTGTAAACAACAGGATAAAATCGCACCAAGAATTTCTTCATCATAAGGAATTTTCCCTTTCCCTAATGTCTCCACAAACATTAAAGCTAGCTCTGCTCCACAGGTAACCTTAGATAAAGAGAAGATATGTGTTAAACTTTTCTGTTGCTAGTCTAGTGTACCATACATTTTATCACAAATATAAATATTTTATAACCAGAAATGCATTTTAAAAACAATGCAATCAGAAAATTTTTAACAACTCATACTTTCAGGCGTCTCAGATTGGCAAATACCTCGTGTAGATAGTACTCATAGTAGAACTGAAGAAGTAGCCAATCAATTTAAATCACAAGCACAACTCATATTACAGATAACAAGGAAAAGTGTTACAAAGATATATCGTCATTGAAGCCATCACCACCAACCCACCCCCACCCCCTGAGAAAAAAAAAACGGTTGCTAGTAACAGGGAAACAATGAACAATCTAGTAATTACTCCTATATGTCAGTCAGAACAAAGATCATAAAGATGACAAGAGTATAAAAATGTAAAACCTGCCCATGAGACAATTGTATGCATGCTCCTGAATGTAGGATATCTAATGCTTCAGAGTACCTCTCAGCAGATACATATCTGCAGCAAAATGTGTATGCTACATCAATGTCTACAACTCATCTGATAATTATGCATTACTGAATGCAATTGTTGAACAAAATAATGAATCTTGACAAATTTTTTTCCGAGGTTCATATAATTTTAAAAATCACAGATCAATGGATGATAACAGGAAATTACATTTTATAGATAAATAAATTTAAATAGAGAAGAAAAAAAGAGATGTTCCAAGAGCAGAGGGTAAGATATAAAAGAAACCAGAAAAAACAAAAACTAGAATAAATAAGGAACACACAAGAAGTAAGCGAAGTTAGCTGATCTATTTATATTTAACCAAAAAAAACCTTTATAACAGCCATTGGCAAAGCCCTGCAGAGAAATCATCTTAAGGACCAGTATGACACACTATAGTAGGGAGACAAAAAAAAATATTATTCTTGAAAATGCCAGCAATCCTCTCCAACTATAGCACCAAATAACAACATATGTTTGCCTTCTTTACTTGTAAAACTCTAAATCCGGCCAAACTCAGTATTCACCAAAAATACCAAGTCAACACTGCACAACATTACATTATCCAGCTCCAAAAAATAGCAACATGAAAAGTTGTGGTATCTTCATTCTCTATACTAAATCCTCACACATTAATGTTAAAATTGTCCTTCTCAGGAACTGCAAACAATGAACTATACCGTGATGTTTTACTCGTCTGTCATCCCCAGTTCGTAACATTTTACTATATGAGCTAATTTCACGAAGTATGCACTTGTAGACAAAAGAAAATAGCTGCGGAAAAATTAATTACCTGAGATTTAAAATAGCATTTCACATTGAAGATCAAATGAAAGAATAAATCACAGATAATGTGCATTCTCTTGAAGAACAAGTAACAGCAAGAAACTGTATGAACCTGGCACTAGTGGATTTGTACATTTGTTGAGCTCCATAATAGTTTCCCTCGTTCACAACCTTCTCCAACTTTTCAATATTCTGCATTTCCCAACCCGAGCAACAACATATTTGATGAAAAATAAAACAAAATAAAATTGAACACTTCAAAGACGCATCAAAACGAAGAATAGAAAACTCTCCTGCGAGCTCGTTTTAAAAAGTTTTTTACAATTTGAAATGAAAAACTCAAACCTCACCAAATATATATATATATATACACACACACACACACACACAAGCATTAATTTTCATATGAAATAATCTAAGAACCATCATCAATCCATCATGCAAGAATGAAAACATAAATTTTCAGCCAATGCCACGTTGAACGTCGCGGAAAATGAGAAAACCGTTCATGAGAAAACAAAAATTAACCATACAGTTCATTTATTATTAAAAATAAAATAAAATTCTCGTTCGGTTTAGAAGAATCTGGAAAACGAAGACGCAAAATTGATGGATCGTAAATTTTGTGTACCTCTTGAGCGGGAGGTAGTTCGACTCTTCTGGATCTCGCTCGCGACATGACGACGAAGCTCTCTTCGTGCTGTTGCAAATGAAAAATATAAAAATTGCGAGGACAGTGCAAAAAGGAAAATGCTCTATTTATAGAAGGACTGGTAAGAGAGTTTTGATTTTCTATAGGGACTAAATTGAAAACCAAAAATTTGTCGTAACAACCTAGGCATTTTCAGATTTTTTAAGGTTAGGGATAAGGAACAGGAAGACTGTGAGGGGAATGGGTAGCAAAGGGTTGCTCCGAGGAGCTTCGTTATCGTTGGCACGTGCAACTGCAAATGCAGTGTGGCATAGAAACAGTTTCTTCCCAACGTTAACGGTTAGCGTTAGCCGTAAGTTGTTCGAGTTTCGGAGCTTTTCATCTACTACTACTCGCTCTTCTCTTCAACCTCCAGATGTGTCTCGTTTGGCAAAAACAGCTCAAATTTCTCTCACCCCAGACGAGGTATTTCTTTATTTTCTGTTTTTTCATTTTCTCTTTTCGAATACTGATTATAGTTTTGTTTCAGGTTGAAGAAATTGCTCCAAAAATTCAACAGGTGATAGACTGGTAAATCAAAACCTTTCTATTTTGAAGATTTTGCTTGTTAGGAGGCCTAACATTTTGTTTCTAACTTGAATTTATGGTCTATAATATATGTTGCTGAAATTAATATATGCTTGTAGTGAACCTAATCTTTAAAATTTGAATTGATTTCCTGACTTATCTTGTATGCCAGGTTTGGACAGCTTCAAGGTGTCGATGTCCAAAGTGTTGAACCCTCCATAAGAGCAGGTTCTCTATAAACTGTTGCTATCACTTTCATTTTATCAATGATTTCATATGAACCTTGCTGTTGAAATGCAAAAACGAGTTATGTTTATCATGGGGACTGGGGAGGGTTTTCTGAAATTGTCCTATTTTGTTGTAATTTGTGATTGCATTGAACTCATTCATGTACTGAAAATGCATGGTAGTATCTATTCATTGAGATATGCCAGTGCTATTGATATGTCAAAGTGATTCTCAATTAATGCGTCTCTGTACTAATTTTTTATTCCAAAGTACATGGGTTGTTTTACATAACTGGCAGAAAGCATCATTTGCTCGTTGGTTTGGATTCACATTTTTATTTGCTAATTTTTTCTTTCATGTTATCTGTAGAGACTGAAAACAATTTGCGTGATAATGTTCCTGAAACATTTGAACATAGGTGAGTGAGTTGTTCATTATTTGTCAATTGGACATAATTGGAAAGTTGATGGTGCTAACTGAGTAGTATATACATGACAGGGATGCCATGATCGATTCTGTTCCCAGCTATGAGGAGTCTTACATTAAAGTTCCGAGGGTCTTAAGCATGGACTGAAATTGCTTAGATGACTTATTTGGTATAAGGAAACACATCAAGATTGTGTTATTTTGTACTTTGAATTTCTTGGGTCGTTATGCGTCCAATTCTTAATTTCATCATAAAATTGGAATTGTTGTGATTAAGACTTTCTTTTAAGATAATTTTACGCTTTTCTTGTAATGATTGGAGATCCTCTTTTTAAAGTTAGCTTTTTTTGCGCATTAGAACATGAGGATCTTGTAATCGGCTATAGGGTAGGATTTGTTGCTTAACACACTTTTTATTATCTCTATGGATGACTTCTAATCCATGGCTGGAGTACAAAATGAAAAACAAAGTGCATTATAAATGTCTTAAGGTTTCTGTTTATGTCCTTCAAATGTTTATTGGATACCAACGCGTGTTATTTTGAGTGAAAGGGGCTTAATCTCGTAAAGATATAGTTTGAACCATAGCTTAGAATACGAATTAAATAAAGAAAAGATAGAATTGGGACATAAGAAATTAAATACAAAAAGGTGAAAATATAGTGCAAAGAAACATTTAAGTCTTTTTGAATTATAATTATTATTACAGTAATTTATAATACGATAATGACCAAAATAATTCAAAGTATAATAACTTGTAATCACAAAATTACAAAAGAAAACATACTTACGTTATTGAGTATTACCAGATTGGGCCTTAATTTGGTGCAATCAAAGAACATCGGTTGGGGCTGAATCTTGGTTTGACAAAAAAAAAAAGGATAAAATGAAAGGGTTGAATCTTGCGATCAATTTTGGGAATTTCACTACGGCTGAGGCTCATGAGTAAGTGGGCTCTGTTTTGATCAGCTTGGCCTTTGGGCTTTTTTTTGTAGTGAAAATTTTAAAACACTGAGCCTTTGATTATTAAAAATTTAAAAAAAAAATAATTTCAATTTTTGGAGTTGAATTAAACATTTACTTATAGTAATATTTTATTTTAAAAGAAATATTAATTATATTTTATAATTTTAATATAATTTTTACAAAAAATTATGTAATTTTTTTACGATTAATTTATATTAAAAACTAAAATAATATTATTTAATAAAATAAAAAAAGTAATAAAATATTTTAAAATTCTAAATTCTATAGAATCATGTGTCCATACAATCTCCATCGTTAATTTAAAGATGTACTGAATCTGTAACTAGCACCGATATTGGTGTTATCGCATCACGGTCCCCGTGTTATTGAAGTTAGTTCAGATCCAGAGTCAAGCGATCGTAACGTAAGAGTAGCAATGCGTTAGTCACCCCAATTCTAATTTATGGCACACACGCGTAGATGTAAAGTTTTCAATGTCAACGATGCTCTTAACAGCGAGGCTTCTGAAAATAATATATTTAAATAATATATTTTAAAAAAATTTCTTATAACTACATGTTATAGTATTCGTAAATTTTAAAAAATATTATATATATATATATATATATATAAATTAATAATTATGATTTTTTAATATATTAAAAATAAATAATATTCATATTTTTTTAATAAACCTCTAATTCTATTATCTAATAATATATAATTAACGATAATAACTACTGCACATAAAAATAATATAAAATACCCGTGTTATAAAGCATCATAGACATTACCTTTATACTTTTATTTAGTTTTTGGTCAGAGTCATTGTGGACTGAAGGCACAAAGACCCAGAGGCCCAGATACTTAGCAGTTAAGAGCTAATGTTCCTCATGGCCCAATGGCCCATTATATCACAACCCCAGAGAATATTCCAAAAATTTAGTTCTCGGTCAATAATTCTTCTGGTTTAGGAAGTTGGTACGTGACTCAGCAATTTAATCAGTGTAAGTTAAAGTTAGGGTTTGCAAACTTAATTTAAAATAATATTGATTTGACAAATTTTATTTTTATTTCATTTTTTTTTACAAAGAAAATTGATTTCATTTTCCCATGATTACTTATTGATTATAGATGATTCTTCTAGAACCATTGTCCAATACAAATTTCACATTGTTATAATCTAGGAATTCACAGAAACAACATACTAGACGAGCTGACATTCCCAGGCAACAACAGAATGATTAAGTTGTGCATAAAGCCATCTAGAGCCTGTAATATTGTTAGATATATAATATAAATGAGGAAATATCTTCCCAAATTTAAAAATTTTTATCCTAGTCTTTTATTTAACTTATATTTAACAATTTATAATTTATTACTTTATTGATTATTAGATGCAAATTAAATAAAAAGTTAAAATTAAACAAAAAAAAATTATACTTATACTATACTAGTATAAGAAAATTATTTTTTAATATAAATATTTATATATTTTCAACTAATAATTTAATTTTTTGGGACTGTCACAGACAAATCCTCTATGACTGATTAATCTAGAGTTCAATCCTTACTGCTATACTGTTATATAGTCTGTTCTTTAAGCCCAAAAAAACACTGAAAATAAAGAGTATGTTATAAACATAATATGAAATAATCTTCGGCTAAATTCTAAAGTTGTTGAAACATATTCTTAATGATCTTCAACTGTCCAATGAGGTTTAAATTATATTTTTTATTTTCAAAAGATCTAAGAACATGGTTAAATAACTTTATTAAAAAAATTGTCAAAATAAAAATGAACAGTACATTACACGAGTTAGATGCTACAACGTAGAGTAAAAATCCTTCTCCACAGATATTTTGGGTGTCTCAAAAATCATAAACTACATATTTTGGGTGCCTCAGGGTGTTCCTATATATAATTAATCTTGATAAAAAAGAGACTTTAGTGACTGCAGATATTTCAAGTGCAAGTGTGTGCTCCAAAGTTTCGGATCATCACTATAGCTGGTAGTGCTACTGAATTGTCCCCTTCAAGAGTTCGTTGTGATGATCCGGCAAATTCTTAAAAGGAAAAAAACCTAACATCGTGAGCCTTTTTTGTTTGTCAGAACTAACATAATGAGCTGAACATATGAAATTAAAACTTAGTTCGTTTTGGTTCCTTACTTGGCCCGATACTGTATTATAGAGTCCAACCCTATCCGTTCCTAACTACAGATTGCGTGACCTTTACAGCATGTGGTGTAGCTCACTACGATCCATGACCATGTGGTGTACCTGAATTCTAACTCCATGCAACATCTTACTGAATAAATAAAGTAGTTTCGTCCTCTTTTTCATAGTTTAGTAGTAATTTAAAGAAGTATAAAATGTAAGGATTAAAGTTTAAACTCTGTCACGTATAAAAGTTCCTATAAAATTATTTGTTCATTCTTTTAACTGTGGGAGTAATTGATTTATGAAATGATACAAGTAGAGAAATAATGACAAAGTACTTCTTTTTTTTTACACACTCGTTATTAACTAAAATTTATTAAAAATTTTAAAAATATGAAAAAAATAAAATAAAATTATAAGTGAAAAAAATGAGATTCATTGTTGCTTGCATTTCTCTCTCAAAGTTTCTATATGAGCATAGGATTTAAACTCCTAGTGGATCGATGTCATAAACCAATTACCTACGTATAAATAATTTTATATTAACAACACTCCTTTTACTTCAATAAGGATGTCTTTGTCTACCCTCTTTCGTCGTTGCTCAAAAAAGTTCCAGTAGTATATTTTCTCCACATAAATAGACCATCAGTGATAATGCACCTTGGGGATTGAAAAAATGGACAATTATATATTGCCATAAAGTGCACGATAGCTATCCACTTGATCACAAAGCAATATGGAAGTCCTGAGAGCGAAACGTCAATAGAAAAACACCAAAATCACACCCAAATATGGCTTAATAGATCTCAGGAGAAAAAGAAAATACGCGACAGAATCGCATGAAAGGTGTATGATCTACCGTATTATATTAACCAGGTAAATTTAATTTGAAAGATATTATTACATTTACACCAAGAATTTACCTAATGAATTTAATTGGAAAAAAAACATCACATAAAAAGCGACGAAAAAGATTATGGCGGTGTACAAATGCACGTGTAAATGCTGAGAACCATAAAATGGAGTGTAGAACATAGATTTGGTTGGCAATAACTTAGTGGGGGAGTAAGTGGAAGGTTATATGGCTAAAATTTATCCATAGCCATTATAACATTTAAAAATTGCAGTTCCTGACTTAGTTATATATGTTGAAAGTGATTGTCATGATGTTACGAGAAAATTTTGGAGAAATAATGATGCTTTGTTTTCGCGCCAAATCAGTTTGTCTTTTACATTATGGGGAAAATGTCAACGTGCGTTATATACGCGTCATAGTCAGAGATAGTGTGGCTTCTAAAACCTCTTATGTAAACGAAAAAGACAACATCTGTACAAAAATTCTCGTGAGGGACTATGACTAAACAGTAAATTAATGGAAAATATAAGAAAATTACATAGAAACTTCATAAATGTAATGACGACTATAAGGTGGATTTATCAAAATGTAAATTCAATTTTAGAAAATTACGATAAAATTAAGCTGTAATTCAATAGTTTATACAAAAAAACTCTACCAAAAAAATTGATGTGGGATTATTTACAAAATTATATAAGTTTAGCATATTGCTATTTAAAATCAATTGAGCAAGTGAAGATAAATAATTTATCATGTTGGTAAGCGAACATTTTGGGTTAAAAAATGAACTTAATAAAGCTTTTCATGATTAAAAAGACGTTTAATATTTGAGAAGCTTTTTAAATTAGGTTTGAATAAATGTTTTCCTCTTGTAATTTTCAAAAACTACAATGGATGATCAATCACCCCATCGGCAGTTAGAGAAAACATTGTTTGTTCATTTTTCTCTTCTATATTCTTGGATATTCCTTCATCTTCTTCAAGTAATGTTGTATTATAAAGGCAAGAAAATGATTAAAAAAAGCGGAAGTATAAAATTCATGAGTATATAAACATCATTGTTAATTTTGATCAGCTATCAGTTGCTACAATGATAATTAATTACCAGCATATATCAACTTAGGAATAATAAATTATATATAGCTGATGATTAATTCATTTCATTTCACAAAAGTACTCATCAATCTATTGAAATTCACGATGATAGTCCAAATTATTCTAGTAACCATGCAAAAAACTATGCATTCAAATTTCAAATTCCAGAAATTAATTCATGACCGCAAAGCAGTAAACCTACTCTGAACCACTTTATGAAATAGAGGGAAAAAGACTCAACATCTTGTCAGCGTTCATTATTTGATTAGTTCTATATGTGCTTAATTAGCAGCCCAAACTCACGATTTCCAGAGTTTTTGTACATATTCTTTTTGCTTTGTCTTTATTATTATTATTATTATTATTAATTACCTTTTCCTTTCCTAAAAAAGAGAGATGGGCATTCAAGTTATATGACATGTATTTTCAAATTTTCATACTTTCAAGTCTAATTCGGGGACGGGTTTTCATGTTTCGATAAAATGAAACTTGAATTAGAGTTTGAAGAAGGGTACGTACTTACTAATCATGTGATTTATTCTTTAGAGTTACTTATCAAGCAAAGTTTTAACTCTTAAATATCATGATCAGTTCGACGCAATAGTTCGATTCCCTTCATACAAACCATATCTACCTCTCTAGGTTAAAAGCAAAATATATCAACAATAACCTTTACTTAATAAAAACAAAGTTTACAAATGCTCATGAGAGGGAAAGAGGAAGAACTTGGCATTGCAAACTGCACGTCAATATATTAAGATTTTCATTAGACATATATAAAGCAACTTTGAAAGCTTTAAGGCTAGCTAGCTCTAGCTACCTATCATGCATACACACCATCCATTTTTCTTTTTATATAATATATAACTTGATCATAGATAGTAATATTAATTCAATACCATACTTCCAAGATGAGTCACACATAGCTACTAGCTATATAGCTCCATGTGAATGCATTTACCCATGGTTGGTTTTGCCCCTTGAAGCCGATGGTAACCGATTGTTGCCACCGCTGCCACCACTTCCACCGCCGTAGCCGCCGCCACCAGAATTGCCTGACCCAGCTCCAGACCCATAACCACCACCACGAGCACCACCGCCACCAGACCCATATCCATATCCGGACCCAGACCCAGACCCAGACCCAAAACCATATCCATAGCCTCTAGCAAAACCCGTTGGAGAATGCCCTGAACCCGAACCATACCCATATCCACCACTGGGTCCGGAGCCCCATCCCCAGCTATAGTCCCAGTTTGGACCATGACCCGAACCACTAGCCCCCGTGGGGGTTCCAGACGGGGGTGCACCGCCACTTGCCATCTCCGACCCGAGCTTTCTTCCGCTGCCTCCGGCCGCCGCTGAAGTGATCATCAAAAAAAGAAAGAGAGGTAAGTGTTTGAGAGTGTAATTGTGTGATAGCATTGTGAGATATGCTATTATTAATAGCCTTTTTTTTTTTCGGAAAATGTTCTAGTTGGGGAAGAGAAGAAAGAGTGTGGTTATGTGATTTTTGTGGTGAGGTTTGACGCGGGGGTGCATAGTGCATGAAAGTGGCTTATATAATGGGTGATGATGATCAATGAGATATATGAATCATGAGTGTGACAACCCGTGATCTTGAGTTAGTCCATGACTACCACTTTTCATTTTTATTTTCTTTCTATTTTTTATTTGAGATATCAGAATATTGCTCAATAATATAATATTGATGTAATAATTCTTGTTCTTGCATAAAGGCATAAACATGTCTTTAACTATTTATAGATAAAATTAATCAAACACATAACATAACATTAAATCATGCTAATAAAATACTTATGTTATTTTAATATGTTTTAACATTTTAATTAATTAATTAATTCTAAATATTGTATATGTGTGTGTGAGAGAGAGGGGTGAGTTGTCGAATAAATCACAACTTGGAAACGAGAAGAAGCACTAGATAGTTGCCAACGTGACCAGAATTCCACCACCGACTTTCTGGTAATTGATAAGCTGAACACAAGTTGTCACGCTAGCATTGGGGTCATGTTTGGGAAAAGCTGGAAGATCTTTTCAGGTTTTTGAGTGTCTATTGCAGTTGTTATTGGATTTTGGATCGCCACCAAAATTAGGTTTCTCATCTGTTTCAATTCAATATGCTAATCACTTTTCGGTTTATAAATTCAGTTAAAATTCGATAAATTTGACCAAAAAATTGCTAAATTAATTCTTGGTCATGGACTAACCCTGTTCTTGACTCAGCAGTTCTAATTTTTGTACTTTCATTAAATACAGCTCAAGACTTGGTTGAGGGCTAAGCTTTGGCGAGTTTTTGTCAGGTTGTTCTTTCACTATTACACTTGTGATTCTCATTAATTTTATTAAAATCAGTAATAATAAGTTTATTGGTTGTTTATTACTAGATTTATTCAATTCGTATAGTATATTGGATTTTTTAAGAAAAAGTGATGACATGTTCCTATTGAAAACATATTCAATAAAATGTCCTAACTATTTTTAAGTAATATATATAAATTATCAATGTTAAAAAGCTCCGACGAAATATAGAAGGATATTGTCTTACAATAAATTATGATATAATTAAAAATATATAAATTTATCTCATTTTATAATTAAACTTAATATTTAAATCAAAAATAACTATTTCTGTTAATTAAGGACTGAGATACATTATTGATCCCAACTCATGTTAGTTTCACAAATAATGTTTAAGGACATTATTGACAAATGGCTCGATAATATTAAGATTTAATTTTACTTTTTGATTTGTATACTTTAATTATGTGTAATTCTAATAAAGGCATGGCATATTTTTTATTTACATATATTATAAGATATATAAATACTAAATAAAAATACTAAATAAAATATAAAAATATAATATTTTTATTTCTTTCATTTATTATATATATTTAAAATTTTATATAAAGTAATGATATATTACATGTTTGTTATAAATTAAATGTAAATAATGAAAATTAAAGAAACTAAAATCACACAAATCAAAGTATAAGATTAAAAATATAATTAAGTCTAAAGTTAATTAAAAAGAATCTATCATATTATATTATAATAAAAAATATATAATTTTATGTTCTTGATAAGAAAATTTTAAATAATTTAAATTCATAAAAAAATGGCCATCGTACAATTCTTTTTGAACTGCATGCATGCGTCGTGTTAGGTCAATCAAGTCAAGATGGATGCAAAATTTCCAATTACTTGCTATTACTCTAACCAGCCATGCCACATTGGCACATTGCCACTGCAAACACAGCGACAAACCATGTTTTAAGTACAGTAATCTTAAATGATTTTTCATATTATTCTCCACTGCAATTAATTCATGTTTTACACCTTTTGACATGGATGTTGTTGGATATTCTTTTTAAATAGAAATATAATAACATATAAAAACGTTTATCACCATATTTTTATTATTTAAAGAACAAATTTTTTAATTGCAGGATATTAAATAAATTTGTACTTTTATGGTAATAATCTTTTATTTTTAACACATGTTTGTCTGTATATCTATCTTCTATAATTAAAAAAAAAAACCAAAAGTTACATTTGTTATAAATTCAGAGATAAAAAATATATAATAAACAATTTTTTTATATGAAAGTCTATTACTTTAAAATACTTAAACTGAATATTAAAATTGAAGTTAAAAAAAATATACTAATCCATTTAAACACCCTTAATAGGGACTTTCATCTAAAAATGAATATACATATATATATCCTTATCTTTAAAAGACAGAAGCTGGCTTTTAGGACCACTTTGGGTGCATTTGAAATTCCTCTGACCCTTGCAAATGGGGCATGATGGCTACAAGAATCTTGATGCTTGTGATGTTATTTGGACATTGCAAATGCAAAAATATTTGGTTAGAGACAGTTTAGATTTGTTTATGGGTGGAATCGTGGGGACTCATGCCCCGTGAGATGTTACATATACGTGTTCATGCCACTAGTTGTGTCAATGTGTGATGCTACTTCTTCTTCTCTTTTATAAAATATCTGCTCCTCATCATGCCATTATGTCCCAACCTAAATGGCTAATTGTCAATATCTGTTGCTACATTTCAAGTAATTCATATTATTTCAGAGAATTTTTTCAGTAACCAATTTTCATTTCGTGAAAACATACTATTAATAATAACGTTTTTAGCCAACAAGCTTATAACTTAAATTAGTACCATTTTTAGTCTTTAAGATTTGTATGATATGCAGTGCATGGATTAGTTGACAATAGTTTAAATCGGTAATCTTGAATTCAAACTTTAAAACATAGTTACGTTCAAAAAATAATAAAGAAAATTTGATCATCTTTATTGTTTTTATCTAATTTGAGTTTAAATAAGATGAGTCAAATACAAAATATTATGTATGACAATAATGTAAGCGATATTTTTGTCTATCAAATCACTTCTTATTCATTTAGTTTTTATAGCACTAATTATTGAGGAAATTAATATGTAATAATTTACCTAAAAATGCATTGCAATTGTATGTATGATACGCCTTAAGTTATTTTTATTATCAATATAAAAATGAATTAATATACACTCTTAAAATAGATAAGAATAAAAATTATATTTACTATTGTTTACTTTTTATAAAAGTTGTTACCAATAATTGACCTCCAAACATAATTTGTGATTATTAACTTTTAAATGGAATATTTTTAGAAATATTGTCAAATAAAACCATTTTAAAGGATTGGTTTTTTAATTATTATGCTAAGTAATTTTTTCTACATTATAAATTTATTTTTTAATTTAATATTAGTTAAAAAATTTATAATTTATTCTTAATTTTATTTAATATAATAAAATATTTATTAAATTTATTATAACATTTATTTTTTAATTACTGTATTTTAAAATAATTGTATAATGTATTTAAACAAATTTAATTCAGTGATACTTATGCAATACGTAAGAAAAATACCGGTTAATATAAAATGCAACTATAATTTAGAAGTCGAATTGATTTTATATAAAATTATTACATTGTTCGGATAAGAATATGTCATAAATTAAGCAATAGCAATACATCCTATATAATTTGAATTAAAGTAATATCTTAAAAATATATTTTTTAAATAAAATTATATAAAATGTAGTATAGTTAATCTAAAATAGTAAGGTAGAAAATATAAATGATTTAAATTCAGGGAAAAAAATAGAAAACTTTTAAAAGTTAAGAGTGTAAGTAAATGAGATTTAATAAAAATAAAATAAATTATGGTATAAAAAATAACTTTAAAATAATTAAAATTGAGATTTGAAGTATAAATATTTATTAATGTAAAAGAATGAAATAAATAAAAATATTCATCACAAAGAAAAAGAGAATATAATAAAATACATTCTCATGTTTAATATATATATATATATGTATATTCTTGGGTGTGTCAGTGCCGTAGTTCCTGTTGGTCACATGGTGGCATGTGGGCGACAGAGTTGGGCTACTTTTGAAGCAGGCCCACTACAACGAGTTAATCCATGTTTTGACTTTTGAGCCTGCTTGGGCCCATTTCAACAGCCTTATCCACCAGTTTATCTAAACGAGTAACGAGATTCCTCAATCCACTCCCGAGGTGGACCCAGATGGAGACCATGGCCCAAGCCATGTGCTCAAGTACAGGATTTTTTTTGACAAAAAATATGCACAAGACATTTTTTTGGGTGTTGTTACATGATATCTTGATTTTTTTTCAGTTAGTTTTTGACTTTCACAGTGAGAGGAATATTAACAATATTTTTTTTTTATTGATCAAAATATATTAAAAATTATAAAAAATATAGGTCGGGAACAGGTTCTATTGATAACTTAGCTTGTGAATTTTTTTCCTCGTATTGCAGTAGTTAATTTCATAGGAAATAATGCTATATTCTATGGAATTTTATTTTATTTTATTTTTGTTAGGAATTTACCTTTCTTTAAAATTTAGTGACGAGCTGAATTTGGATTTGTATAGATTGAAAAATAACTCGTAGTTTATGGAGGCCAACTAAAATAAAATTAAACCTAAGAACAACTTTTCTTTTTTTATTTATTGACTTATAGACTAGGATGTAATCCATTTACTAGCCTCCATGTGATATTTTGCATTCATATAGCTTAGACCTGTTTTGTAATAGTTTTATAATTTTCAAAATGAGTATTCGTTTGGATTGAATCAAGTGAACTCATTTAAACTAAAAATGGTGATAGATAGGATGCAGAAGAGTCTGGTCCATGATGATTGACACGTGAAGCACTCACTTTTGGAACATATCATCTACAATTGTGTGGATTGTGGAACGTTGTGGTGTGGCTTACACAGAAAATCAAATCAAATCATTAATGAATTCCCGAGTTCAAGTTGCATATTGAGGACTAGATCCATGTAGCATTACAAGTAAAATAAGGATTATAAAAAATAAATATTGTAAATTATGGTTTGACAGTTTTATAACTATTCAGAAATGGAAATGGATTGGGATGTTTTTCATT